TTCTGATGGACTAAAAGTGAACAGAAATGGTGACATCATCTCTCTCCCAGATTCCTGTGCAATTTCAAATCCAGCCCCTGACCTGTGTGAGCCCAAGCTGGGCTCTGAACCCCTTGCTCTGGGAAACCTCTGCACTGGCCCAGGTGTCCCACCTACATCACAGCACTGGTGACATCAGAGCTGAAATTTATCTGAACAAAACAAGTGTGAGTTTCCAGCCTTCCAGAAGAATTGATCTGCTCTTGGGACAGATTCCCTTCAGCTCCATTGCTCTGTGGGATGTAACTCATGCACTCGAAGGGTAATTTCAGTGCATTTTTGAAGATTACTGTGTAAAACCTCCTTCTTGTACTGAATGGAAGCGTGGCAACAAAAGGGATGAACTCTGCAAAAAGCAGAGACTGCTGGTTCTGGTACACAAATGCCACTTGGAGTCATGAACCAAACCCCTGTGCAGTTATTTAAAGGCTGCTGAACGCTGCCATGTGTGCTCCTGCAAACACAGCACCTCAGTCAGGGCTGAACCTTCACATGGAAACCTCTGCGGAGATCCAGAGCTGCTTGCAGGGCTCAGATTTCTTCCTTACAGCAGAATAATTCAAGTCTGAGGCTGCCTGCATATCACCAAATCAATACATGCATTTACCTGTCAAGAATGACTTGAACAAAAGACTGACAAACATAATTTTGAGAATTGATGGACCTCAGCAATTATCCATCTTTCTGTAGCACGGTGAGGAGGAAACAGCAAGCCAGGGAATGGTAGGAGCAGAGAAATTCCAGGGCTGGATCAAGTGCAGCATATAAAGTTTAATTTACTTCAACAACTTGCTCAGAGCTGACAAAACTAGTTTTTGTTTTATTCAGATATGGGGTTGCCCTAACTGTGAAATATGTGTATCTGCCAGCCCCTCAGACACACCCAGCATGAGATACAGGTGGCAGTGTCTAATGAAAAAAGGCAACAAAAAAGGTATTAAAATTACTGAATTTAAAGTGGATTCTGTGGTGGAGTCATGCAATGTGAGGGAAAGATATCTTTGTGGGAAGAAAAGGAATTGAGGACTTCATTATTCTTGGCAGGACTTCTGCACATTTTGCTTATCAAGGGACTGTCATAGGGAGTGATTATTTTATAGTCAATGAAAGTTCCCTCCCTCCTTCGTTTCTCCCGATCCCAAGCCATCTCCCTACAGTCTGAGGGGCCTCACTTTGGGATTGCATTTCAACTTCTCTCATTTTTTATTCTTTTCTTTGCTGGGAATTTTTAAAAGACAGATTTATCCAATTCACCACCGTGTTCAGTGGGTTATTGCTCTCCCCTCCAGGCTGGTCTAAGAAGGGGCAGATGTTGTGCTGTCTGCCCAGGACTGCGAGGGGAAGGCATCAGTGATGGTCCTGATCCATTTCCCATGGCCATGGTGAACGCTTCGAGCTGGGATAAATCAGCCCTGCCACCCTGGTGACCCCACCACTACCCTGGGTAGATCGTTCCAGTGATTGATAACCCAACCAGTGAAAATATTTACCTAACATCCAATCCAAACCTCCCCTGGTGCAGCTTGAGGCCGTTTTCCTCTTGTCACTTGGTACCTGGGAGAAGAGACCAACCCCGCCTGGCTACTGCCTCCTTCCAGGGGCTTGTAGAGAGGGAGAAGGTCCCCCTGAACCTCCTTTTGCCCAGGATGAGCTCCCCGGGTTCCCTCAGCAGATCCGTGCTCCTTCCTCGTCATCCAACGAGCTCTTCCAAACCGTGAAGACGGGAGGAAGATGACGGCTGTCTCAATAATTTTTCATCCTGGGAAAGTTCCGCTCCTGTGAAATTCCCGTGTAATTCCGTGACAGCAGCAGGGGACTGCCACCGCTGCATCCCCGCTGCTGGAGCTGCCGGCTGTCCCCGCTGCCCTGCCCGTGCCTCCCCGGCCATCAGAGGGTTGTGATGTGCCCTGGGGAGGCTGAACCTCATCCCCCGCGCTCGGGGAGCGGCCCCGGCCCGGCCCGGCTCTGCCCAGCAGGCGGCACTGCCCGCCC